AAAAATGCAGAGTTTGAAATCACTTTACCATGAATCGGAAAAGCTAAGAAAACAAGAGAAAGAACGTTTTAAAAGGGCCAGAAAACCGGAAAGAACTTTCCTGCTTGCTCCCGCGGAACTGAACTCATCACCATCATCATTACGAGCTAAAAAGAGGTTGAAAGAAAAACAACCAATACAGTTAGCTCCATCGTTYAATAGTAAATCGCCTTCCAGAGCTCAGTCTTTGCTTCAAATGTTTGAGAACGTTTCTGACATCGYTCCAATAACTGAGCAACAGCGCATTCTCCCAAAACCAAGCTCCGCGAGCGCCAAAAATACTCTGCGCTTTGAAGATGAAATTTCAACACACAGCACTGCGGCGAACGAGCATCCACAAGCACAGAGAGTCSTACCCGAGTCATTACGGCCAAAAGTGATCAMTAGTTTAGAGTTGGGACTTGACATTCTGACAGGTGCTGGTTTGCGTAATAAAGAGGTATGAAAAGTACGCTCATTTCGATTATCTTCGCTTTATAGAGTGAAACATTGTACTAATTACTAGTAAATAGTGTTGATTATACAATAGGAAACAAAGGAATTTGTACAATTTACTTATAACCTATTTTGTAGTATTTATATTTCATGCATTTGGTGCGAGCACTCAGGTATTAAATGTGCATATACAATTGACAACAAATTAGTACTTGTTGTTCAAGCAAATTACACAAGATCATGCATGTGTTTTTGTCAACTGAAAACCCTAGCAAAAAGTCAGATTCTCAGTGTTTTCTAGCTTGTATTAATTAGACTAATYAAACTTTAATGCAAGTTACAATTTGGCTGAACATTAATAAACTAAATGAATTTATAGTGTTTTTTGCATATGTTAGGTTTCAAACTTGGGGAGCTGTCTTGATCACYAGCAAAAAGAGCAAATTTTTAGAGAAGTGATAAAAGGTTCTCCAAGCTCATTATCAAAAGTAATTATGGAAATTCCTCAACTTGCCAAATGTGTCAAGGGGCTTATCATGAGTAAAATTGATGACCAGTGTACTAACCTCTGCTCAAAGAAAAATCCATCTGTCCTTCGTGTACCACGACTTCATCATAAAGATATAGCAAAGACCTTCACATGGCCTGACATTTTAAAGGAAATGAGAGAGAGAGAGCCCCTGATGTACTTGACATACTGATTACAATAGGTGCCCCAAACATGAAACATGATGGGAGACAGGTTCCACCAATTTGTACAGCCTACTCAGTACTGATGAACACAAGAAATAGGGAACTATCTCTAGTTCAAAAAATGAATACTGTTATACTAGGAGCTGGTCATGCAACAGAGAAGGTTTGTATTACATATCTGCAATCACTTAAATAACTTGTAACATCTTATAATAATTTATTAATTGATTAACCTAAAATCATAACTAATTTATTTTCACTTTTATAATTTTAGACATTCCAAAGACTTGGGAAACTTGGAATCACACAATCAAGGGATAACTTCCGCAATCTTATGGATGATGTTGGAGGTGATTTTATTGAAGACATAAAGCAGATAGTTAAGAATACGAAAAAACTTCGAGTTGTGCATGACAACTTTGACTTTAAAGTTCTTGTAAATATCATGCTGAAAAATCACAGAAATTCTGATATGCACTGGATGGCACAGTACTGCACATTCGACAGGGTGTTGTCAAGTCACTTAGATGACACACGCCAACAA